TTCTAATATTTCACAAATAGTAAAAATAAAAATTTTCCACGTTGTGTTTCATGAGATCGCGTAAGACAAAGAAATAAGGCAACCGTCGTACGATGAACGTATCCACGTTGTTTACGTACAGTTATAATATATATATATATATATATATATATAATTAGAATCGGTACGTACATAGTAAGTACAAAGGATACGTGAGGAAATATAATCGATAGAGAAGGGGAGGCCGCACTTATACAATCGATTGTCGGTGGACCGGGTGGCACTTGGCGGTGGCAGCAGCAGCAGGTCATCCTCCGCTCGGCTGTTCAGTCAGTTGTTGTTTACGTTTCGACGTTAGCGCGCGCGCACTTCTGTTGTTGGCCGTGCTCCTCAGTATTTCTTTCTTTCACAATACTCGTACATTTATATATATATACATATTTATTTATTTATATATATATATATATATATATATATATATATATACTCACACAGTTTAGGTATTCTATGCGTACGGGTCCGCGATCCGCTTTCATTGTTCCTACAACATTCGTCAGCTGTTCACTGCACCACACGCTCGCACGTTTCATGCTTTCTGGTAGTCTCGGTGTCGTCGTGTTTGTCAGTCGTTTGTTCTTTTTCTCGGGTTCAGTACAGTGGACCTCTGAGGAGAACCGGAAAATCATTCACAGTTGTCGTCCGCGCAGGTAAATCATACCTATAATGTATCCCACGACCGTACCAACAAAGTACCATAAAAAAAATGTATATACTTCAAAAATTATTTTTTTTTATTAAATTAGCAATTAAGTTGTGCCCTGTTATTTCAAAACTAAATCTAATTAATTAATTATATTTTTGTTGAATAATTTTTCTTTTGTGTGTTCCGCACGTGCGTTCTTTATTTTCAAACACAATTTGTTATTACTATTAGTGTTATCTAATGACAATAACAACAACGTGCACGCGACTCGCCCAGCTGTTTATTTTGACTAAACCGGTTGCCCTTCGAAAAATTTACAACTATCGTTTGCCCGTCATCTGGTTGATTTATTGAAATGTTATCTTGCTGACATTTTATAAGTCAGTGTACTTACCAGTTATGACTTACTACCACTGATTTATGTCATAAACTGTGTGTGGTAATTTTTTTTTTAGATATTAAAACCAACGAATAGAATATAGTTTTGTTGATTATTTTATTTTTTTTGTCGTTTGGAGTTGAACTGTCAAACTGTTCTCGCTGTGTACTATTTCTTGTTATTGTTTTGATACCATTAACACATGCCAGTTATGCTGTGATTTTTTTTTAATGATATTTCCGAAAAACTGTTCGAACATGACACACGCCAGATATAACAAGTATTTTTTCATTCGTAATCATAAAAAATCCCATTTCTTTACGATTACCACCTTCTAGTTTTTTTTTTGAATTAGCGGTGACACCAGAGTTATTTTTTATGTTTTATCTTTTTTTCGCGTAAGTTGGCTAAAGAAAAGCAAATAAAAATTTATTATGATTAGTTCAGTTATCTTTACAACCGTAAAAGGAGTTAGGATTTATGAAATAAAACTTCTGGCCTAAAACCAAAATCTAATTTTGTACCGAGACCTATAGAGACTACATAAGGTTCCATTAAGCCGTTTTATTCGTGTTAGTCCAATACATTTATGTATTTTATCAAATAATGTTCCGTTAAAAGCAATCATAATTAACATAGTTTATTTTGGATAAATCTGAATACTATTTAAAAATCATTAATATTAAAAAGTAAGTAATATTTTATTATTACACGCGAAAAATACAGTAGTATACATAATAATAATGATAGTGTTATTTTGTCTCTTTGTGGTTTAAATTTGATTTTGAAACCACATTATCAACTTTTATCTTATGTCTCAATGTACAAATGTCAAATATATATATATATATATATAAATATTTTCCACTTAAAATAATTAGTTTTAAAAATAAAATAGAGCAAAAATATTTTGTTTTTTAAAACACAAATATTGAAAATTGGTATAACTTTCCGAGTGTGTTACGGACTGCCGCCTAGTAAAAAGTTGTTTCCAAAAAATACCACATTAATGCTGGAAATAATAAGTATAATTGTTTTATACTATTCTCATGAGAGTTCACGACCCTCGTCAACATTTGATCTATCTGCGTTTACAGTTAGCGTAACCAATAGCACTGACCAGGTCGTTGGCTTATAATTTTTTATTTTCACGGCCGCAGTAAATAAGCAATTACACTACTGGAAACTTGATAAAATTACCAAGCCCGTTCGTATTAGTGCACATTGCTGATTGACGATTCTCATTTGTCATTCATGAGACATTCTGATAAAAAAATCATAAACGATTGTCTAAGCGGTCATTGTAGTTGAAACAACGATCAAAAATTCATTAGAAACAATAAAAGTATCAACCGAAAACTAAGTCGAACGGTAATTGTGGTAAAAATGTTTTTTATTTAAATTATTTTTATGCGTCACCGCGTTAGTTTCAATGTAATATTATTATGCCGGCTATTACACTATGTGTTGGTGCATAATCGATTGTGTTGCTAATGAAAATTAAATTAAAAACGTATTAATATAAACTTAACCTGAACGTTGTTTCTGTTTAAAACTAACGGAAAGGAGTACGGGTGTATGACTTAATGGAATAATATTGTTTTTAAATAAAACCTTTGTTTTATTAATGGTTATATTAAATAACGAGTGAACAACTACGATCTTGCACATATATGCTGATTACATTAATGTAGTTTACGGAGCCCCGTTGATGTGCTTTGAATTAAACGCAAACAAAGTAAATTTGAAGTGGTTTTTCCTAATTGACGAAGAAATTGCATTATGTACTGTAAATGGCTGGGCAAAGAAAACATTGCCAATATATTGGCGTGTCGCGCATGTTCTGTCGACGTTAATAAGGTACCTTGTGCGAGCACTTTTCGGTTATTTCATTACCGTTGATGGCATAGCCTATAAAAGAATTTTCTTTTGTAATTATTTTCTACGTTAACGGTTAACGAGATCATCGTAAAAGTAAACTGATCCGAGTTGGTTAGAAGTAACAACTATATAGTTTTACTATCACTTTTGAGTCGAGTAGTGGCGAGGGACATTGCTGCGTCCAGATTTTAAAACCAACGAAAAGTTATTTTTTTTTTCTACAACTTTATTATGTCATAACCCTCGAATAGTATATAATTTTTAGAAATGAGCTTATATGAAGAAGAGTATAAGAGTTGACCTCTTTTATAAAGTGATAGTGTTCGCTGTGGAAATCTACTCAATAGATTACTCTTCAATGTTGTGTTACCTTCTTGTGTGTTAACCGCGCATGTGTGTGTGTGTGGGGGGGGCTATAAATGGTTAACAGAAATAATAGGTGTCCAAAGTGCGCCAAAATTTGTTACCAAGTTGTGTTTCATATGGTATGAATTATAAGTGAAAATGTATTTGTACGCGTGTGACAAAATTGTAATTATTATTATGAATATTTAAATCGAAAAATTGCTACGTTCACTTTGTTAAATTATATTTGAATGTTATGACTATAATGGCAATACATTTAATAATTAACGAATGTTTTACTATTAAGTTAAAAATACAACGTAATTCAATGTTATCAAATTCATTTGTTTATTTTTTATATATAACCAATAGAAAATCAATACTTAGCTGTTATTTTGAATGATAAGTGTACAATGTATTAATGTACAACTAACACAAAATTCGATGGTTTAATATTAAATAACGGCGCCCACACAATCGCACTTGAATAAAAAAAAATCACTAATCTTCAGCTGTCAACGTCGCGATTTATTTTTATTGCTCATTTAAAGTACACTCGAAGTATTCATATTTCATAAACTTCATTCGATTTGTACTTGTCTTTGAATTTCGCTCTTTGTCACTATTAACAGAGCAAGAAACAAGTACTCATACACTGTGTAACTTAACACCTTTTTAACGATGTTTACTGTCAAACGAGTACTTTCAGTTGTATTGCTTTTATATATTTGTTATGAAGATGCATGAAGGCGCTGTTTTTATGTGGAATTGCTATTGTGAATGACTTATAGGTCATATTTGATATGGAACATATGAACTTTTTGACAAGTTATTAAAAATACAATAAAAACGTACGAGATTTGTGTGTATGTTTTTTTTAAAAATATATTTACTGATGTCTGATTTAATTCTTGGTGCGTTGTGTAATAAATGAAGTGCTCTCGTAAATATGATTTCATAATCTTGAAACGTACTTAATCCATTAACTTGTTTCTTGATTACTTATTCGAGTAAGCCTTTCCGCAAGGCGGCGTACCAAGTATTTAAATTACAAAGTCCAAGAAAACAATTTCTTTCTAGTTACTTATTTCTGGTCTTCGATAATTTTTTTTTTTTTAATCCGGACCGCAACATTACTAATTAGCTTATATACATTCAGTTACAATGTTTTAAATATTCAAAATGATATATTCTTAGTATTTCACAATACTTAACTAATAGTAATAATAATAATTGAGTTAGCGTTCCAAATAAAATTTAGTAAGTTGTTTGCGAGCGGTTCTTTGATTATTTCGGTTGGGATGTCGTTTTTTATTTATTTAGGCACAAATTATAAACTTATCAAGTTGTTTTTAGATTTTCGTAAATAAGTATTTTTTATTTTGTCCTATGCGAGTGTCGATGCGTTTCAGTAATACAAATCTAAACGTTTTTCAGTAATTTCCAAATATATTTGCGACTGCTGTTACTTATTCCACGGGAGTTTTCTACTCGGCCAAACGTTATCGCAAGTGACGGCGGTAGCGAATCGAATCACCAACGACGACGTCTATTAATGTAACATAAATCGTTATATTCCTCCCACTTCGGTTTGCTTACACGGAAAGGACATTGACAGTTGTAGTCGACCGGCGTGCCCCGTCCAGCGGCGGCAGTCCTCCTGCGCTTGGGTTCGGCTGTTTTGCGCTGTTCAGTTGTTGACCTCACCGATGGTGCACAGTCACGTGCTTTTCGCTGAGGCACAGTATTGGGTCGTCACGTCAACGCTAAAATATTACCATACACTAATAGACTAAGGGGTCATCATCCCCTTGCCTTTTAAGAAAGCTTATATTTACATATCCTTTCACTATTATTAGTGTTAACCCCTTTCGTAGTTCCTGTAAATGTTTTCAAAGTCACACGACTTTATCGATCCTTTGGTGGCCTTCGACGCCCGTTAATCCGCCCCGTGACGGTTTTACTTTCTTTCTTCGAATATAATGGAATAATATTTTTTTTAACGCACATGACGATTTTATTGTGTTACTCTGTAGGCTTTTCTCGCTAATTAAAAAAAAAAAAAAAAATATTATGTAACCAACAAAAGTTGACTATTAAATTCATATTTAGCTTAATTTGTATTATACAAATAGATTGTTTTGACGTAAGATTTAATTTTACTCAGAACGTCAGTAGGATATACTAATAACAATATTAATACAAACAATTCATTGCGATATTATCTATATGAAGTAATAAATGGTCGTAGGAAGTCTATTATCGAAGAAAATGATAGCTATAAAAACAACTGTAAAATGGAATCATTACAGAAAAGCTAATGATCGATCGATTGTATTTAATCGGTAAAATCGTATACACTGTCAGACCGGTTTAGAATCTATGTTCACACAATTACTTATTATAACCATGTTGTTATCTTATCTTTTAATAGTGTAAAAGTTGGTTACTATTAGTGATTACTAGTATGATGGGCAAACTTGAACAACACTCATGACAAAATAATAATTTTTATGAAAAATAATTCAAGTCGAGCAACTCTAGTCCATTGGATTATGTTTGACAATTATTATTAGGTATATAGGAAACTATAAATATTGTATTGTACCTTAAATAAACTGTAATTACTTTGGTAAAAATAAAAATATTGATTACGCAATTGCGGTCTTCACGCGAACAACGTATTTATAACGTCTGCTACCCTTCAGTTAAAAAGTTAAAATAATGTTATTACACAAAAAATTACTAAACATTTTTTATTGTTACGTCGAGATTTTCATGAAACGATTTTTTATGTTTTCACATGGTATTTGAACTTTGATTTAAAATGATGACCTCGAAAATGGTATTCTCAAAATGACCTCGCACAAATAAAAATGTTCACTTTAAACCAAACGAAGAATGTTTCAAATTTACTTTTAACTATATACCCTATTATAATACAATGCGTATCGTATAATTGTTGAATTTTTCAAAAAAAATCTTTAAAACATTAAATAATGTTGTTTTTGGTTAGACAACATTGTAAATCTCTGGTTGATTCTCATTATATTTTGCATTTTCATCTCGGTAATAGTGACTCCAGGGAAATACCGCCGCGCTGTGTACGTGATACTTTAATTAATTTCCTATTATGATAGTGCTTATTTATTTCGCCATTTTTCTTTCTTCTCTTTATTGTATACACAACAGCTGTATAATTTGATTTCAGTAACGAATTAATGTAAGCAACTGTAGAACTTTTATTAAGCCTTGGAATTTAAAATAAATCAATTATCTATTTATTTTTGTTTACTTAAAACGGAAAATTTTCTTTGGACGTTTTTAAATAAAATCTCCTGTCAATTCGAATTCTTACTTTTTTTTTTTTTTTACTACGTTCAGTCATTGCGTCATGAATTTCGCAATTTTGCCGTTGACTACTTTTGGTAAGCGCACCTGGTATTGATCATCTCGAGTATAAAAAAAAAAGTTTAACACGATTGCATGGCCGTTGTTAAATCAAGGACAGCATTTAACACCTACTTAACAAAAATTATCGTCACATAAGCTTTTGTTAAGTAACGTATGCGCTCTGTATGATAAAAATGGTTGCTCTTTGTGCTAAACGAAATGAAATTATTATTTCAGACGTTGTTCTTATCGTACTCGATCATTTTCGAATTGCGTGTTAACTTGTTATCACATTAGGTTCACTCACTGCAGACAATAAAAATAGAGAACGCTACAATTGTTTATTATTGTTAATTGTAATCGATTTATACTTAAAATTGCCATCTCCATGAAATTAAAAATAAATGCAATTGCAATGTACCAAACCCAATAATGATGGCTGTACAAATAGTGCTCGTGTTTTCTCTGTCGATTCGATTTAACTTAATAACAAATGCGTAATGGTCGTGTTAGCGGCGGTTGCAATGGCCGCCACGTGTGGTCACCGTAAAAGCGATCGATCGTGGGAACATTATCCTATTGAACACGCTGTTTATTGCTGATGATCTGTTTTGCGAAGATGTAATATTATTGTGCTGATACGATAGAATAATCACGAAATGAATAGCCACAACGTCCGGAAGCCATCGATGGTGTGAAGGCGTCAGCGATGAGCACAAAAGAAAACTGTTATTTTTTTTTTTTCGGCGTTGTAACGATAACAGAGCGTACGACGATTGCTTTGAAACAAAGAACCCGCGTTGGATACCTCAACAATGCCTATGGTATCTTACGCAGTGAGGCAGGTGCAGTCCGTTTTTATGTCTATTCGTTATGGTGTTCTCACTGTATAAAAGAATGGTGGACGCAGACGTTTGTTAACTTTGATTTGTTTGTGTTGCGACGATACGCAGCCACTAGCCAATGTTTGGCGTTTCGAGAGTAGTTGTTGTTTTCTTATTATCGATTTTACTATTACACACTAGACAATAACTATTATAATTGCGATAAAATAATCGTTTGGTCTGCGCAATTGAGAAATAATATAATTAATTATACATTACTATCATGACCTTATCATCAATTCAACTTATTTTGACAACACACAAATGTGCGCACGCGTATTCCAACTGAAACGCAATACGTGAAAATTTCCACCTAAATTTCACGTTTAGTGTAGTGCGGCGCTTGTTTTGTTTTATTATTAACGAAAAAGCCGTCGTTCTGTAGGAGTAATTATTGTTATTATTATTATTCTATTTAAGGTACACTTTTTTTTTTTTTGTTGTTGTTCTCCTTTGTAACCTTTATTACAAACGTTTATTTCAACCATATTTAATCGATATACACATTCGAAAGAGTAAAACTTGTGACTCGATTTAACTTTTGGCCTGTGGATTACACGCACTTTTATGTCTTAAGCGTTTCGAATGTTGTTGACACGCTGACACATACTGGAGGGGCTATAACAATAAACCATATATTTTCAATTTGACGAGAAACCGTGTTTTGTTTGGCTAAAGATACGTCTTGCACAGATGGGGTATCTAATTGTACAGAGTTCAAATTCTTAATCTCCATATTATTTCAATGATAAATTTCACATTGTTATCTCATACAAATAAACAATAGCTTAGCGAACTATTTTTATTTGTTAAATAACTGGCAACGCAAATAACTTAGTTAAAATTACACGTACAGCTTATTTTTTTCTTTTAAATTATTCAACTCCAATATTTGTGTATTTGTTAATATCGTTGAACTTTATCGACAGTCTTTCGTATTACCTTATCTACTTTTAAAATAATAGTCGTTACGTAAAAACTTGATGAAAAGTGTTTGTTTTGTTGATGCAAAAATTCTCGGGTTAGACTTGTTTTTATATATAACCGTCAAGAGTGTCTGAATGATTATTTTTATAATATCTGCACTTTGCCGATAGTTTTTACGATAGTGCACATCATTTCAGAGTTAATGACACCTTCGTAAACAAACCGGTTACCACGAATTTAAAGGAACCTATCGGTTAAGAATATTGTGTAAGGCTCCTTTTCAAAGGATCTATTTGGAAATCCGTTGATATCAAAGATGGCCCGTGAAACATATTACACGTGGTGTACTCGATTGTCTTATCGAAGGTTGAGTATTGAGTATTTAAATTTGATTATAACGCCGAACAGGGTGCGATTACAATCGAAACGAGCGTGTGATTGAAGTTTGATTGAAATTAAATTGTACGTGTCGAGCGCATTTTGAAAATCGGCCAAGCTTTTGTGTATCGTTCGGGATTTTTTTTTGCCACCTAACTTCATTAGTTTTCTCTTCGGATGCGATTTGTTTTTGCTAAACTCATTGCGTCTGACGAACCGTACTGTTATCAGCAGCGTTTAATCTCACGGGCTGGTTTTTTTCTTTTTCAACCGTCCGGTACTCTTCGTAGACGACTTTGATCGTAGGAATATTTTTGCGACTTTACCAGTACGTTTAGTGTGCAATGGTAAATTCGCCATTACTCGTTACAGAGATTGGTATCCGTGAGAAAATAACAACTGCCGCCGGTTGTACAAAGACGGTTGACCTTGGCGCAGACCGCAATGTTTTTAAAAAACGCGAACAATATTAATCGATGAAATAATATTGTTGTAAAATCGGTTTAAAAATATTAATAACGGCAACAACGTCGTTAAATTAACCCGACGCCTTTTATGGTGCCGTTAACTTGATGAGCACAACAAACATAAATGAAGAAATAAACAAATTTCTTGTTTACCCGAAACTACTTTACTGTTTGCGACTGACCACCATTGCTGTTAAAAAAAACACTACCGCGCGCCGCTCGCAAAACATTTTTGAATCGTTGACATTTTATATTGTGTTGTTTTTCGCAGCAGTGATACTGGACGTGTTCGGACTTGATGATTCGACCAGAGGCCGATCTTTGCTGACTAGGCGCCGACGAAAAAATGGTCAAGACGTTTCAGGCATATTTACCGGACTGTCACAGGACCTATTCTTGTATTCATTGCAGGGCACACCTAGCCAACCACGACGAACTCATATCGAAGGTAAACAATTATTTCAATTGTTCCACTGTAATTTATATGACTACTGAAATGCGAGTTTCAGACACGGTCAATATTTTTTATCTAAAAACACAAGTTGATATTTTCAACACTCGACATCCGTTGAAATTATATATTGTGAACATTGTTTTTGGTATTTTTCAATTTTATTTATTCCTCGACTCGTCAGTTAACTTTTTTTTTTTCAACGGCAACTTACCAGTACGTATTTGACCAGCTCAAGTAATGACAATATTATCGAATTAAGAAAATAACCTTTGACCCGTTATTTCGGAAATGATTACTATTTTAAAATATACACTGGGAGTGAGGTGCGGATATGATCGTATTCATCACTGGACATTTCTCAGGCGCATCTCTCCTGTCGCCCAAAATGTATAAAAATGTTAATAACTTTCAAAGTTGAAATGTGTTATCGACCAATTATTTTTTTAATTAGATATATGATTTTTTATTTTATAAGCTAGTCGAATAATATTGTGTATGTGTGTCATTTGAGCAAATAAAGTTAACGCCTTTACGTGCAAAAAGAACGATCCGAAAAAGTGCTAAATAATTAATAAATCGAGAAGTGTATATAACCAAAATATGTAAAAAAAATTATTCCCGAAATTATTTATATTTTGTAAGTAATTGAGTGGGTTACGACGATTAACGTTCACTGTGTAAATATTTATTTATTTATACACTCCATACAAATTGATTCGAAACAATTAAAATACTTTTTATAATTAAATGTAAACTAATTTTGCGAAGAAGTTCGATTAATGTGTGTTACGTTTGAAATAAACGGCATAGAACGTTATTGTATTTTATGTTTTCTAAAGGCGAACTCGTTTATTTAGAGTTATCTAATAATCGAACAGTTTCCAATTATTTGTTTTGGACGTCGTATATTGAGTGTATTAAATTAGGCATAGTCGAATAGGTGCCACCTAAACAATTAAGCGCGTTGATAACCCATCGCTGATAGTGATTGAATATCTCACAGTTGGTTAGTGCAAACAAAAGTCAATTAAAATATCACCGAGTCCTATTATTATTGTTGTTGTTGTTGACCTATATTTTCAACGAGTAAACAAAACAATGCGAAGTTGTATGGTAAAACGGCGGCGGGGCTTACTTATCTATAAATCCTAATGTGTTGTTGTTCCGTCCAAACTGCGCAGTGCGAAAACGTGAAGTAGCAAATAACGTGATTTCAAAATCACATATTACGGTGAATTTATGTCGTGATTTGATTAAAAAAACATTTTTTCAGCCGTAATATGATGTACTGGCGCGCGTTTTTAATTAAATAGTGGACAAACGGAAAGGTAAACTACGCATTTTGAATAAAGCCAATCGGGTTCTTTTGATAATTATATCGCGTGAAACCAGTTGGTAATCATCGAATCCGATTTAATTTGGATTATAAATTATTTATATTTTCGGTAAACCGTTCAGCTGGCGACACTGGCGCGTTGATCTCGCTGCGAAGGATGCAAACCAGCTGTGCTTGACGTTTGCTATGAATTTAATTGACGTCGTTGCCACCGACTTGGTGTTCATCGAAGTTCGCTGCGCATTTCGACAACAATAATATTTACTGTTTGATACCAAGTGCGTTTCGAGTGCATTTGTTGGTTACGTTTTATTTTTCAAGCGACGTGTGTCACGTGCTCGCAACGAATTGAAGTCTGACGACGCGCGACCAAATAATGTCGCGGGTGTTTTTATTTGTCGCTGGCACGTGCATACAATATGATGACTGACTACACCTATAGCAGCGACGATATGTTATTGCGCAATTCGCTCAAACTGTGCCGTTTCTCGCGATTGTATGTCGACTTGGTCATTAGGCTATTAGCCGCGCACCGGTTCATTGAATTAGCGCACCTACAGTTTAGTGTAGTGCACATCTCGCCGCCAACATTAATTGCATCTGGCGGGACAAAGGAAAAGTTTGGCCCCGCAGTCGTTTTACGGGTCGCGTTGAACCTGCGCACTTTTTTTTTTTTTTTATACAATGTGCGCCTCATTACGTAACCGGCACTCGATCACGCGAACGCCGCCGAGATAACCACGGCGTGTTAGGCCCGTTTTTCTGGTACGCCACTGCGCGGTGTCTACGCGGAAACAATACGAATACGGTCTGGGCGGCAGATGTGTACTTCGCTAAAATCTGATACCGCGTCAAAAGTTGTCCCGCGTAATGTTTGCAAAGGCGCTTAAATACCACCGTCGTACACTATCGGATAACACAGACGTATCAATTTCTAATACAGTCGATAGTTCCGGACAAAAGTTTCTAATTTAGTTTTAAATACAATGTCATTCGCGTCTTTGATTTGTTTGCCGTAACCGTTGACCTTTAAGCGAATTACGCTTGTTCGTGTAATTGTCGCTGCCCGTTCTTTGTGCTCGTTAAAACCGTTAACGATTTCCCGTCAAGTTTGTCGATCGATTAATGTTAACAAAGAAGTTGTGCAGGTGTAAAAATTACATTTTGTTGATTTTGTCGTCGTCAACGGGACAAAAACTACACTGCTAATGATTGTTATTTTTTAGGTCACGTCCGCGTCCTTTTTGACACTTGGATTACATTATATCGACACGATTTTCTTTTTCGAACTTTCATAAACTCATAATTACTTTGCTTACACACACAAAAAGTAAAACTTGATAAAAAATGTATACGCATTCGTTTGTATTTACTCCAAAGTAACATTGGGGACTTGTCACGGTTATGGAATTAATGAATACGTTTTCTTGTTATTGAATTTTTAACGTTCACGTTAAGAAACGTTTACTTTTCAACGACTTGGTCGCATTGACAACCGTTCAATTTTTTGTCGATAAAAAAAAAATAATAATTACGAACACGCCGCGGCGCGTGGTATACGCGAATGTTGTCTGCGATATTAACAAGTACGATATTTTTTTAACTACCAGAACTGTGTGAAATATGTGTCAAAAGCACATACTCAAATTCGAATCATAATTTCTATTGCGCATATATTTTTACGTGTTGTACAAACTCGGTAAAAAACAACAACAACAACGCTAAAAAATGATGCACTTGTAGTTCAAGATCAGGACGTTCCGCCGCCGGCACTAATTACCCGACCGCCGAGTAATTAATACTATGACAATAGTGTAATTATGTAATATTGTGGGGCCGTTCATCGCGCGTGTTGTTTACATCGGATTGGGGTTAACTGCTCTTTGTTTTTACGATCAACGTAATCTCGGATAACGAAAATAGATAAATTGTTATTGCTCACTGATTGTATAAGCAGTTTATTGCGTACGTCGAATCGCGATCATTTTTTACGACACATTAAACACTTTGAAGGGTTTAGACTCGATACACGAAACCATTATCATCTGTAAAACAACACACCAGTACAATGAGAATATTTTGCACCCTCCTCGTCACCGAGTGCATATCCATTGAAAAACGTCCACGAAACAGACGCGTACGAGTCGCACACTATGAACCTCAAAACTAACAAGTAAAGGTCATCTGATGAGTGTACATCCTGTTTTCTCTCTGGGGATTCTTATGGTTCCATATCAACAGTATTTTTGATATCGAGTGAATACTGCGTAGGACGCCGCGTCGTTACCTTTCTCCTCTCGGATGATAATTTGTCTATTCTCACATGTCGACATTGTTATGTCATATTTGCCTATTTAAACGCGTCTCAGATTTTCTAGACACCACCAGTCACTTTATCGTTTGGGTCGCAAAAAATGAAAACTGCCAGCGAGCCGATTAGTAACGCTTTTATTATTTATTCAAATTGTATTAAAAGTATTATTAAAAACATAAAAAAACGTGTCTTTATATAGCGCGCCCGTTATTAGATTTAAGACCATGTTCTTTGACGGAGGTACTTTGCATATAAACTGCCAACGAATGGAACTTAATTAAAACGGATAGCGAGCATTGGATGTACGCAAAATAATATCATGTCAAGACTTGAAATCTATACATGTGACGTTTCATATAAATGGCTTTGGAAATAGGTCATAGTTATCTTATTCGTCCTGAAAAATAAACTCGGCGGTTATATTTTATTGCATAAACGCGAGTGTAGTCTGTCCGAAGGGAAAAGGGATCCACGTGCCAGCATTTCGTCGTATCGCCATGTTACTGTTTAACATAATGAACTTTGTGTTATTTTTAAAAAAAAATCCACCACTACGGATCGTTGCAAGTTTTTTATACGTAGTCGTCCGTTTTGAGTTGTGATCAAATTTCGTTTGTACTACGATTTGCCCCTGTTGGCGTTTGACCTAAAATTAACTCGGCAACAGTATCGACTTATTCCAAGTGTGTTTCAAACAGAAAATATTGCACGTTTTCTTGTTTATTATTACTGCAAGTTTTTTATTGTTGTTAAAAGCGCGCGCTTTATTTTGTACGCGTTCTCGGAACGATGAGAAATTATTACGATCCTCTCTCGCTGTTTTTTTAATTGATCCAACTGCAAATACAATGTTTGTACAGAAATGCAATAATTGTACTCTACAGAATCAATTTTCAACGATAAAACAAAATGTTGTTTACTCGCGCGGAAAACGATTTGTTTGTGTTATTTAAAATTCAAACAGTCGATACGTTCTCGGGTTTAATATCAGCGAGATACGATAACACGTGTTTCTAATTGAATAACATCACATTGCGTTTGTTATACGAGTGTTCTACGCATCAAATTTAATCTTTACGAGGGTTATTCCGCACACGTATAGTTTTTCACAGTTTTCTCCGAGCAAACTTTTTCTTATTACGTGACGTCATCTGTCGACAATACGCGCGCGCCAATTTCTCCGTTTTGATGTTTTTGCGCGTTTGTCGACAGCCTCTAACGCAACTCGCACAAAGACTTTACGCCAATTGCTCTTAGAAATGTACGAGGCACGTGCAATTGCGTTTATCTAAATTGTCAGCGCAATGTCGCGCACACCCTTCGGATAATGATATGTCGATCGCAGTGCGCGATGCAAACGACTTAATCGGATAATAAATTAACGATTACCCGGATAATTATCCCTGGTAAAATCAACGCGATAGTCGTTGTTAATAAACGACAGAACACATCTGCCACAATGCCCCACGGTGGTGAACGGCAGAAGCGAATCGTGTGTGTATTGATCGATTTGCATGTGTCCTATTTTTTTTTTTTTGGTGCATGTGCATCACGACTGACGCCAACGTGTGCTCGGCCAGCACTGTGCGGAGTTGCGAAATCGGTACAACCGCCACCGTCTTCCCACTACTTTGCAATCGGTTAGTACCGCCGAACTGCGACGCAATTCCCAACACGGCCATAACCTGAATGTTATCGTGGTGCGACCTCCTGACCGACTACGCGTTATTTACTGATAACGACAATTAGTCGAGTTATTATCATCATTGATAACGGCGTTGCTATTGATCAAACAAAATCACGACACGACCATTTAGCAATTATAAATTTATGATTTTATGCAAAACGCACTGTTGTTGTTAATAGTTCCCATAACGTGGTACTGCCTGCGTTACGATTATGTGGCCATTGTAAAAACACGATTTCACCACAAACGCTAATCGGTACTTTTTCCGAGTTTAATGTTGCGGTGTATATTTTTATTTTCACATTGTTGATTAGAATTAATTTGCAATATTTAGAGCAACTAAATGCTGTTATATTTTAAAAATAAATTTATTTATAGTCCTCATAAATTGTTTGTATTAAAAATTGAGTTTTTCGTTTTCCCCTTTTAATACTCCTCAAAATATGTCAATTTGAATTTAATAAGAAGCAACCATTACACGTGCCGTTTAAATTAAAACTAAATTTTATGTCTTCTACAAGATACACTCCATTGATTTTAATATTAATTACGTGTTATAAGTCTTATTCTAAGATTTGCACTTTTAGGTGTAAACATATTTTGCCTATTTTATACATTATGATGTTGCACAGTATAGTAAAAATACATCATTTATACGTTATCGCATGAAATATTTACTAATTATTTATTAATTCCCATTAGATAATCATTGATTTAACTTAAAAAAGTAAAATATTACGCAATTCATTTCATGCGTCTATTTAATGGGTTTCTAAAAAAAATATGTTATAAGAATCGAATAATAAAATACTAAAAAAAATGTTTTGAATTAATGTCGAAAAATATTTTTGATCGTTAATTCTAACCCTCAAATACTACAGCCGTACATAGGAGAAATAGTAAATTTTTTAATTCAATTATTTCATGTGTTATTCATATTGTAATATTTATTGATTATTGTCTTGTTTTATTTTGCAGTCGTTCCAAGGTAGCCAAGGTAGAGCATATCTTTTCAATTCCGTGTAAGTTGATTTTTTATTACCATATTTGCTTAAACATATGTGCGAATTATCATCTTTGATAAGATTATATTATACCTAGATTCAAGAGAAATTCATAAATGTTTAACTATTATTATATAATTATTCGTACAAAACGAATTGCGATTTAAGTTAATTATTTTTTTCTTGATTTATATCAAGATTATTTTTTAGTATTTGTTCGTCATTGAGTTACTATTTTTTATATTTTATAAGATATTTTAGAGTATAATATTCTATTTTGATTTTTTAGCGTGAACGTTGGATGTGGACCGGCAGAAGAAAGGATATTGTTGACCGGCTTGCACGCTGTTGCTGATATCTATTGTGAATGCTGTAAGACCACTCTTGGTTGGAAATATGTGAGTCAATAATTAGGGTCCGGATTTAAATGCATTTATAAATTTTCATTTAGCCATTTTCAAGAAACCCAAGTTCATGCAACCTCGTCGTACGAATTTTCCTAGAATATTTTTTTATTTTTAGGTAGATGATCCTCTTCTAAACCTCCCAAAACTGAACCTAAACATTATTAAATTTTTAAGCAAATCAATTAAAAACATTCTTCATTTAACTTGATTTTTTATTAAAAAAAAAAACAACCCCGGGAAATTCATACGTTAGAAAATGTTTGTCAAACTTTTTATAATGTGTAATGTATTCAAATATATCACTGCTATTTGTATTATTTTGTCTCAAATCGGATCGCATTTGACATGTAAAATATGTTTTGTAATACATTTTTCATTGAACTTTCTATTTTAACAACGAAATAATCAATATAAATTAGAAAGAAAAATATGTTGCTATTGTGATATTTAAGAAAAATACCGATAATACGTTTTACGATGAATGTACACCCAAAGAAAAACCTCAATCAAAATAGAAAGAGAAATTTTATCAAGGGTTTATGATAATGTTTTATTAATACGAACAAAATAACTATTCTTATAAATAATTATTGTTCAGGACAAGAAAAAAGAATATCATATTGATAAATATATCATTGATTCAATAGTAATGATATATTTATCAAATTGAACAATGAATTTATTATATAGATCGAGATTTTTCTCTGGGTGTAACTGTGATTTGAGAGTTTATGGAATAAATAATTGAAATCGTCAATTATTATTTATTTACTCGTTACAAAATAAGGAAAACGTTGTTTTCAGAAGCGGAAACAATTTTAATTTTAAAAGGGGCGTGTTAAGTGAATTTTGTCGATTGTTGCTGATAAAAATGCCGGCCTCTAATGACTTAAACGAACGCTTGGGGGAGATGTGCGCCATTCCTCCCGCACTACCCTTTAAACCACTACTGATTATTTAAATATTTAATTTCAATTATGTAACTTATACAGGAAGTTCCAATACTGAGACTTGGTAATTTATTTGTTACAGGAACACGCGTTCGAGTCTAGCCAAAAATATAAAGAAGGCAAGTACATAATAGAACTGGCCCACATGATAAAAGAAAACGGCTGGGAGAGTCCGCCAAAGAAATGAATTTATGCTGTCGCTCTTAAAATGCATGTGTTATATACGGTTTCCAGTTAATAATCTCATTTCACACGATTGTGACGCATTTTTATCATTTGGACGGTCCGTTTGACCTACAGGTCAAATCATAATGATTTATTCGATTAGTGAATACATTCAGTTTTTGATGTTTATTAATGTGCATGGCATTTGTGCAGATCAACCCATGAAATCGGTTGTACTCGATAGACATACGATATTGATTCAGTTACAAGATAGCTGACAACAAAGTGCCGTGCATCTAACTTGTTATTTTGTGCGTTTAGTTTTATAAATTTACGATGTACCTAAATAAATTACTAATTTTGTGATAATATTACCTTAAGAGTAAACTATGCCCAACATTGAAAACAGTTATCTTCTGAAACTTTATTTTTCATTGCATACTCACAAACGCTAAATTATCTATCATATGACAATTGTTAATATCTATTAAGATAGTTTAAAAAAGAAGTATATTTTATATTCAAATACATGTTATAAATTAAATATATACGTGGATGTCAAAAAAATGTTGAAATGTTGAAATTGACAGTTTGAATTAAATAGTAAACTATCTATCTATACTGTCAAAACTTAATACAGGGTTTTCTTTATTTACTATAAATCAGTTTAATCATTGTTGATGGATACCTTTAAATATTTACTATATTTCAAAGTTCTTATTAGTTCACTTTGAAATGTGTTAAAATTATTTCTGTTTTAAGAGTTTAATTTCTTCTTAGTTTTTGGGTAATATAAATATATTTTAATTAAAACTATTCGTGTATTACTTTATATTCACTAAAACTAACTACAAAGAGTTTTGATTTATTTTTTCAACAATAGATTACTTTGAGTTTACGATTTAGTAGTGTTTTATAATATATTCCCAACTATAAATCAACAAGTTTTGAACATTTAGAGTTATACTAAGACATCATTTAGTAACAGCCATTTAATAAGAATTATTCGTATAAAATTGTAATGAAATGTTTGTATAATGTTCAGCAAGATTAAAAAATAAAATTCCCCTGTTATATCTTTCATTAAAACAAATTAAATTTACTGAATGATATAATTCGTAAGTGAAAACTTTAGTATTTTAGGTTTAGTAAAATAATGATGTTTGTAAATTATATTGTGCATTAATTTATACCTAGTCGATAGGAACTGTAATTAAAGGCTATATCATATAATATTACATATATGTTTTATAATTATTTTACAAAATTTAACTCGAATGTACTTAAAAAGCTCCTTGGTTTAAAATAACTAATAATCCATATTAGATACATACAAAACAAAGTTAATTACATTCTATTTATAACCATGGCTTAATTTAGTTTATAACTTCCAATATACGATTAACACATTCACTTTTTTTTTTTTTTTTTCAAATACATACATTTGTTTAATAATAATTTAGTGTAAATAATATGAGTGTAAAAAGTTCCTGTAACAAAACCTTTCCACTTTGTCTTTGACTAAATTGATCTCAAATATTTTTTTTCACTTTTGACTGTATTCAATTGTTTCTACAAACTCAACAGACATTATTTTGCTTTATAAAAATCCCAAATTAGTTTAACAATTTGAATCTTGTAACGAGTTGTATGCTAAAAATATTTGAAATTATAATAAAGTATTGGTTTGACAATTAGAGTCCATAATGATTGGGTCTCTTTCTTTTTTTTAAATAATTAAAAATGTTACTTTTAATTATTAGTCAGTCACATCTTCCACAAATTGACTTATTATTTTTTATATGTAATTGAAATTATATAAATAGATGTAATATTATAAATCTTGCTGTTTAGTTTGTCATTTGTTGATAAATTCCATGATCTCTTGTGGTATTTGCTTCTTTTTTAATTGTGTATTTTAAAGAAAACGATTTCAGAAATTCATAATTAATCATAAATTCTTAAGTAAATTATTTTATTAAGTTCATTCTCATAATGTTATTAATAAACGCTTAACTTCCATCGTAAAATATTTTGAATTCATAAATTCTTTTATTATTATTAACTATTAAAAAGCAAAAAAAAAACTACATGTTTTAATTGTTCATTAAATTATATTAGTTTACCTTCATTAGAATTATATAATAATGAAATAATTTTATATTCTTTTAGATGAATTTTATTTTTGACATAATACAAAAACATAGTGTTAATCTTGATGATTATTTTATTAATGTGAATTTCGAATGATGAATAATTTTTGTTTTATTTATATTTAAATTTGACTTCTGATATCTACTTTAGTCTATTATTTTTAATTATTACTACTCATTATTCTTTTCTGTTAGTTGTACAGAATGTTAACATTGTTTTTTTTTTAATTTTATACTTAACAATATAATATACAATATAATATTATTATTAATTTATGTACAATGCTTGACATAATATTTTGAGTTGTGATGTTTTTTTTTTCAAAATATAAAATAAGTATATACATTTACCTATTAATTTTTAGTTCCTATTAACCTTTTTTGTTTATACCTATTTTAATTACTAGTATCTTAAATATTCTACAAAATATATACTAGTACAAGTTTTTGTTGTCCCTGGAATTTCTGTTAGGTCCATTGATAAATCTTGTATTAATAATCAATTCTATCAATTATGTTTTTATCAACTATGAATCTAATATAATGTTTTGTTTCTTTATTTAATACATAAAGTATTTGCTGACATAAAAAAATATTTTGAAACTATTATAAAAATAAAGTTACGATTAATGTACTAAACATAGTAAAAAATTATATTTGAATCAAAATAAAAAAATGATTTATCTTCAATATTTTTACCAATTAAATCGACTTATCAATTTCTTTTTACAAAAATTTATATAAAATTGATTTTCCAATAAATGTGTTTGACGAACCCTATCAACCATAAAATTTCAAATCCTAAGTAGGTTTTTAAATAATAACTACAATTTTTTATGAAATCTCGTCTTTTTTTTTATTATTATTTTAAAATTTTTATTATTTGGATGTATGCGAAAATATAACATATTGATAATATTACTGTCTTGTTAAATTATTTGTCTATTTGTTTTGAACACAATTTTCATATACTAAGACTTAATTAATCTTACACAAATTAATATATTAGAAACTAAAAAATTGAAAATAACAAGATAGTTAACACATACAAATCATTTTAATTGTTAAATAGAAATCATAACCCATATTTTGTGGACTATTTTTATAGTTTAATAGTAGAAATAATTTATTGTAATAAAACGAAAAACATGTATCTTATCTCTTCTCCATTTAGAAATCGTTTGGTTTTACTACGAACAAATTTGGGCCCACAACTTACCACTAATATGCAAATTGTTATCGTGTATTATAAACATATTGCTTAGACAATTTGATTTATATATTTAATATTTTCAACTCTTGCTGTGTATCATTTAAAAAATTAATGGACGTCAACAAATTTTAGCTTCAATGCGTAGCTGAGAAGGTATTAATTTTACTATGATGTATTTTTAGATTTTTAAGTAGGGGAGATTGGGGCACATTTGAATACGGGGTAGATTTGAATTGATTAAATAAAATTAGCTGTAGTGGATAAAGTAAATTCAAGTAAAATACAGAAGGTTAGTCATACTGTACCCAATATATGATGTTCATCAGCTATCTGTTATTAATATTTTCATAACTATAAATAAAACTGTGTTTTTGAATTTTTTGTTACCGTTTTATTACTATCTTAATAAGAGTTTGAAAAAAAAAGAAAAACATTCAGTAAGTATTTAAGAAAACATACTGAATTAAAATATTATATTTTTTTAAATGGAATATTATGGAATGTGATGTATTTCATTGTACAATTTTTGATAATTTTGTTGAAACATGTACTAATTGGTTTTTAACATTATAATGATCTCATAAAATGTATTTTATTTTAAGAAAATAGTTAGAAATTATGTCAAAAAAAGGACAGTAAATGTTGAATTTATAAGAATCTATAAGATATTAGAGATTTGTTAATTTTCTGTTTACAAGTAGGTAGGTAAATACCTTTAATTTTTCTAGAGAAACTATTGTTTTATATTATATAAGTACCTACTAAGAAAATGTATTAAAATAATATACTTTTACTTATTGGTAATTTTATATGTGTTAATTTTTCAATATATTGACTCATTCAAATGTGCCCCGCATGGATTCACATGTACCCCTACCATGGGGCACATTTGAATAAAAAGTAACTTGTATTTAACATTTTAGAATAAACTATTATTCTATGATATAGATTTTTAATAGTTACAGTGTGATGTTAAAATATTATGAGAATCTAACAGGACCATTATACTTCAAATTAAATGCAAAAAAAATTAAAAATCAAAATGTAATTTCCATTCAAATCTGCCCAGTCACCCCTACCTAATATATTTTTTTTTATTCGAAATACTTTATTTTTTTAATCTGAGTACTTTCGATTACGCAAGTGGGGTTCCAAACTTGAAAAGGTATACGTATAAAAAGTAGAACTTTTTCAACATAATATTTGAACAGGTTTTAAAAATCCTGCGTTTCTTAAACTTAAATTAAATCTTACCTAATGTACTAAAAGTTAAAAAAAAAATTTTCGTAATTTATCTTTAATATCTAAAAAGCCCCTTAATCACACAAAAATTGCTATTTTTTGTATTTTTGTTTACAGTTACTTAGTATTATTTAAATGATTGGTGTAAATCATTATAATAAGTATTATTTTAAATTATATTAAGTAAATATATAAAAGAGGTAGGAATTTGGTTTCTTACATTAAAAAAAATAAAACTATAAAATAACTAAATAAAGTTATTATTTTTTTAATACATACATTTTTAGGTGAGATTTTTGCATTTATTAGTATTATACGAATATTGAAATTTAAATAAATTAAATGTGAATCATCTTGCATAGTATAAATTTCTCTATTCACGGAAGAAGTTTATATAGGGGCAGTTAGCAATTTCAACCTTGTCTGACTATTTTGTAATCACTAAAACTAGAGGAAACACATATGTTACTCTTTTTTTTTAAATATATGTATTTAAAAAAAGTCTATAACTTCAAAATTACATACATGAGAAATAAAAAAAAAAAAAAAAACCCAGCACAGTGGGGTCGCGGCACAGTGGTGACGTGGCATAGTTGGATCAAGTATAATGATATCTGACAGTGATAAAATCACTATAAAAAAAAAACGCTTCGATGCCAATCTTTAGATAGTGTTTAATTTTAAATAATTGGTGGATTATTCCAAAAGCTTCACAAACTGCTAGTTCCTTATTAATATCCTGATTAAGATAAAGTATGACGAATGAAAAAAGGATTATTAAAAAATGGTATTTCCCATAAAAAAATTACATTGATCAATACACTTTTCAATAAATTATAGCATTATAAAGTTAAAAATGTAAAAAATAAAATTGAGAATTTTCACACAATAATAGCATTTGGTAGCCATTTTCACCGTGAAGACAAAATAAAGTCCGAAATTTTTTTTTACCATTATAAAGTATATTATTTAAGCTTTAATTTAAGATATATATAAAAGTGTCAGACCTTCCGGAACACTTTCAAAAGTTAAGTTGAAAAAGTTCTACTTTCTATATGCATTTTTATGTTTTGAATCCCCCCTGTATTAAGGGAAATGGTCCGATTTAAAAAAAAAAGTATGTCGAATGAAAGATCTATATAAATACTACTTCTCATAAAAAAATTGTAATGATCCATACATTTTTCAAAAAGTTATAGCATAATAAAGTTAAAAATGTAAAAAATAAAATTGAGAATTTTCACACAATAATAGCATTTGGTAGCCATTTTCACCGTGAAGACAAAATAAAGTCCGAAATTTTTTTTTACCATTATAAAGTATATTATTTAAGCTTTAATTTTAGATATATATAAAAGTGTCAGATCTTCTGGAACACTTTCCAAAGTTAAGTTGAAAAAATTAATTTTTTGTAAAAAAATTGTCATTTTAAATCCCCCCTGTGAACTGGTAAAAAGTCAGATTTATAAAAAAAATATACCAAATGATAGGTAATGACATCATGCATCTATAAAAAAAAGAATAATATTGATATGTTTATTTTTAAAAAAGTTGCGGCAGTTTTTAGTAAAAAAAATTTCGAAAATTTCGAAAATTAGCGATTGTTAAATTTGTAATTTTTTCAGAGGTTTCCCTCATTTACGGGGAACGAGGGAATTTTTTTCAATTTTTGAGGGTAATGTCTTCGACTAGATACGATTTGTGATCTTTTGACGTATCATTGAAAGAAATCGGTTCGGTGAGAGCTGAGAAAAAGTGGTAACAGACACAAAAAAAAAAANGAAAGAAATCGGTTCGGTGAGAGCTGAGAAAAAGTGGTAAGACACAAAAAAAATAAAAAACACATCTTAGTAAAACCAATACCTTCTCAGCTTCGCATCGAATCTAAAATTGTATATCATAAAAGTAGTGCTTATAACAAACATCAGAATTGAGTATGAAAAATATTAATACTTTCATTAATTAAGACCATTTATTATATAAATATATTTTTTCTCTAGTATTAGTATTAGTGTAAGAAAAATATAGGAATTTTTTTATTTTGCATGCCAATTTACTACTTTGTAAAATAATATAATTTAAAAGTATAGTGGAATTTCGATTAACCATCATCAAAGTTTAACGGTATCCAATCCATAATCAGCCAGTCATGATTTATGGTTGGGATGTGTCTTTGAACATTGATGACGCATATAAAAGAATTGTGGTTAATTAAATTCCACTGTATACTTTTAAATTAACTACTGTAATCAATTATGCTTCAAAAATTGCAGGAATTTTGAAATATTTTGCGAGAAAATAATATATAGCTTATAGACCTTTTTTTAAAACCAACATAAATTCTTATTAAGAATTTAAAAAATCAATATTTTAATTGGTGTCATTTTTCTTATTAATATTGACTGGTCGATAGTAACTCTTGTACAAGTATTCAGTGTGCTAAAGATATTAAAAAATTAAGAATGGGCATGTGGTGCAAACGTTAGCAATAAATTATAAAGCAAGTCATTCGCATCACCTACCCCCACTTAAATTTTTAACTGATTATAACTTATAATATACTTTTCCGTAAGTTATGTTAAACATTTTTTTCCCCATATTTCAAAGCTAATAATTAAATTTTTAATAAAATTGTACCTAGTTTATTTATGTTTTTATGTAAATAATTTTTGTACTGCCTATTTATCGTCATTGGCGCAACTAATATAAATTTTTAAGGAGTCTAAATATATTTTTAACCAGATTTAATATATATTTTTGTATAATAATTAACATACTTTTCTAATTTATTTGGGTACATATTCACTAAATGAGAGCTAACTTCTAGTCTTCCTTTTGTTGTGTCGTTGCATTTTTGAAAAATGTTCAACACATATGTTACCTTGGTAACATATAAAACAAGCATTAAAGTGTATAACTAAAAGTAATTGGAATTTAAGCTCTCTTTTTTGTTAAAAAATGATTTGTGCTGTTTTATGAATATAATGTTAATATATTGCCTAAAATAAATTTTCTTTGATCACAATCAATTTAACACAAGTCATTAATTTATTTAACTCGTATCAAACTATAAAATAGCTTTTGCACAAGTGATCTGTGCTATAAAATGTTAGAAATAACATTCTGTTAATATTTATCAATGGATACTAAATAAATTAATACATTTCATCAAAAACCTGACAATACTTTAAATTATGTATTTTGAATTTAAAGTAATGAGGGTGGGGATAGTAGTGTTAGTTATGTATAAAAACTCAAGCAAGGTACACAACAGCTTACTAAAAAATATTCTTGCGGAAAAACCAGTTCTCGTTTAGTTATAATAATTTATTTAAACATAGAAATATATTTTCTACAAATTATTTTCTTACAAGTAAAAAATGTATTTTAGCTGCATTGAATTATTTTTTATCCTTTTTGTTTCCGGTTCAATTGCTATATCACCAAAAACCTCTAGTGTATGTAAGTATCTTCTATTTTCCGCATTAAATTTTTATAGTAGTTTAATAACTATTATAGTTAGCTCATTTATTACTTTGGGATAACTAAATTTTTAATTTTTTTTTTCATTATACTAAAAATTCATTCAATGCTTTATTTTCGATGAGGAAACGGTAAAAATCAATAAGTATATGTTAATAATTAATTTTACAAGTTCTTCAAGATTTATAAATGTTTAATATAAATGTAAAGTTTTTGATAGTTTTCTCATAATAGCTATTTTGAATATTTTTATTGTACCTTTTAAACGAGGTTTGCCCCCCTCTATATATTTTTCTTTGACATATTATAATAATATAATTAGAATAAACAACTCTGTACTATTTAATAACCAATTACTTTTATACAATACTATAAATTATAATTGTTAAATTTGAAACTTTCTTGACTTTAAGATGGCAAATTACATACGAATTTTGAAGACCTTTTATTAATTTCGTTGTAAAGCTCATAAGATATTGAAATTACCATGGCGTTTTTTTTTTTTTACGTAAACATTCTCACTGGATCAATTTTGTTATAAATACGACAAAAGAGCTCGAAATTGAAAAAAAAACCCTGCTAATTTAATAATAATAAAAAAAAAATGTTTAAGTCTTTTTATATTAATAATCGAATCGATGAGTTTTATGATTGTCATATGAATCACTGTCAAATATTAATCTATGCTGGAACTCTGTATTGGTTTTTTTTAGTTAAATTTCTATTAGATACCTCTCCTTAAAAAAATAAAATAGAGTTCAAGATCTAACTATCTGTAGCTGTCAAGTGGTAAGAGATTAGGGAAATAAATCCCCATTGATATAACTTTTTACTTTTTTGTACAATTTGTATTAAATGTATTCTATATTTTGAAAACTTTATACATAATAATTACATTTGAGTTATTGAGCAGAATTAATATGAAAAAATGATTAATCCTACGAATTTATGAAATTATATGTTAGATCTTGAATATTATTTATACGTATGTAAATTCAACGAGGTACTAAATTAAAATAAATTAAAGATTTGAAATAAACTTAGTAAAAAGAAAGACATTTATGCATATCGAATAGCCCTTAATAACATCTTGATGTTATTAATAATTATTAATTATTAATAACATCTTGATGTTATTAATAATTATTAATTATTAATAAAAAGGCTTTAGGGGATGGTAGCACAACTACCATGTTAATATTTATCATAAAGATTTTTCATCCCCCTTCCATGGAAAATCATTTGACCGATAATGTTAACTATTCTCACTAAAAAATTGTATACTCTAGTATATAAACACTAGATTTTCTAACGCATTGTAGGTGAATTAAAAAATAATAATAATTATAATTTTTTCAACAGCACAAAAGAGAATATAATTTCCATTTGAATTTATTCAATTATTTCCTATTTAAATTATTACTTTAAAATAGTGTTTATTAGGCGTCTAACATGTAATGTTAAAGTGTTTCAATGAAATAATTAGTTAGTTTTTGAATATATTAAATCCAAAATGAGAAATTGTTACTTAACAAAAATTACTCAGTATTGTGGGGATTCAGATTAGTAAACTCAAGTATAGGTTGAAATTTTACAGTAATTAACACCACTAGAGCAAAACTGAATCGTCTTATGTTATCGTTTACAAAAAATTGAAAATATAATAGTCGTCAGAACGTTTTTCTTTTTTAATCTTAAATAATATTTTAAATGATTTAATTTGTTATAGGTTTAAAAAATGCAGACGTTTTATTACGAGCATTATGAAAATTTAAATAAAAAAAAAATTATAAAGAATCGCATCACAAGCTTGAAAAATAATAATGTTATAGAGAAAAAAAATTACAGCTTTATTTTTTTTGAAAATAATTATAAAGTTCAGCTTTAGAAGTTCATAACAATGGTAAAACTTGATAGGATGAAATTTTGACCAAATTATTGAAAATTTATCTGGAGGATTTTAAAAAAAATGTACAACATTTTTTTAGACCCACATTTTTGTGTAAAAACATTAATTTTACAAATGCTAAAATTACGGCTGAAATATTTTAGGTAAAGCAAAACTAATGCATACTCAGAATCGACGTCAAAAATCCTATAGGAATCATTAAAAAATTCACTAAAACAAAACATGACTCAAATTTTGTTGAGCTGTGTAATTTAATTTTTTTTTATTTTGTTATAAACTTAATTTATAAAGAATAATTAATTTTAGTTAATAATTATGAGAGGTGTAATCTGAGCGACCCAGCGATAAACTCTTGTCTTAAAAATGCACTTACCAAATCATTTCCGTATATGGCGAAAGGTAATAAATTTGTATAATTATAATATTTATAATTTTTAAAATAATATTATTCCTAAATTTCAATGGTAATATTTATAGGAGTTCCAAGTCTTAAATTATTTCCTTATGATCCAATGAAAATATCATTAATAGAAATTAACCACGATAACAATCGCGCTGTTCAAGTTAATTTGAAGGTTAAAGACGTAGAAACCATAAATATGTTGTCCTCGACTGAAATAACGGATTTTAAGTAATTATATTTTATTATGTTATTAGGAAGTGTTAAAATTATGTTATTCATATCGTACTTATTTAGGGTTGATGTAAAGAATTTGAGTGCTTCTATATCTTTATTTATGAAAGGACCTGTGTTGCAAAAAGGTACATACTATGTCAATGGAAAAATATTAGCTTTACCGATCGTGGGAAACGGTCCATTTAGCTTAAAAATTGGTAATTAAATATTTTATAAGATGAATGCAGTAAAAAAATGAATATAATATTTTTTAGAGGATATAAATGCCTATATTAAACTCTATATGAAAAAAATTGTTAAAAATAAAAAAGAGTACTTAAAACCTGAAAACATATCATGGAATTATTCTAATAAAAAATTGTCTATAAAGATGGATAACCTGTTTAATGGAAATAAAGCACTTGGTATGTTGCCCATTTGAATATACTTCCTTGTATGTAATAAGAAGTGGCGGTTGTAAGGGGAAGGCAAGGGATAGGCGATCAACCTCATTTGGTCTTTATATTTTTTTAATATTTCAATAAGCTTCATCGATGTGTCAAAGATACGACAACTATCATATACACATCTCATTATATAAATAATGAAAATATTTATTCTACTTCAAATATATGGTTGAGAATGTTTACGCAGGTCTATAAAGTATTAAACTTTTGCGTAATTTCAGAACATTTTCCATGCTTCGCTTGGACTATAATGTTCATTTTTTCAAAAATTTCAGATAAGGATATGAGTTTTCCAATTCTTTTCTATGATTACTTCCTTTAAAACTAGTTATAACCGCCATTTTTAAGCAATATATATTTAAAAATAAGGACCTTAATAAACTTTAAAAATATATAATTTTTTGAAATATTTTAGGAGATAACATGAACGTTTTTATGAATGAAAATTGGCCGGAGCTAGGAAAAGATTTTCAACCTGCCTTAGAACAAGTTTTGGTTTCGGCACTTTTTGAGTATACTAGTCAATTTTTTGGACGGGTGTCAATGGAAGAACTATTTATTGAATAGATTTATTTATTAATTGAATGTATTTTTATGGATTAATAATTTATTTCATGAAAATAGTATCATAAATTATATTTTGTAACATTATAATATAAAAAATTATTTAAGGACTTCAAAATAAATAGAAGGACTTAATATCATTGTGTGGAAAAGATAAAGTGTTTGTTAGGACCCTCTCAATTGAAATGAAATCATAGCTAGGTGCTTTCTTCTGTGATATATCACATCTGAGTTGCACGAAAAAATCTGAGAAATGGAATTAAGCTTACCTTAATAGTTGCAGAGTAGCATTCATTGGTTGGCTTATGGTCGATTTCGAATAAATTCTTAATGTTTTATAACCAAACAATTTAAAAGCATTTGCTCTATTAAATTATTTTAAAAAGTTTAAACTGAAGATCGTCGAGATGTTTAAATATTCTATAAAAAGATGATAAAATATTTTTAATAAAATTTATTTATATTAAAATGAGTCGAAAATATACAACGTTTTCAATTTTAATGAGTTTTCAATTAAAAAAAAAAAAATATATATATATATATATATATTTATATATCAGAATAAACTAAAAAAAATTTAGGAACATTTGCAAATTAGATCCCAGACGATTTGTTCGATTTTACATTGATTACGAATATGCAATAAAAAAATCTCGGTCAAAAATAATTACAAGTTACAGCAATTTAAAATTTTGCATATAACGCTGTTATTAGATCTAAGCACTTAATTGACACTTTTCCGAATGTAGTTTTTGTCAACGATTTATAAAGAGAAAATACTCATATTGAGGGGTTATCAATAATCCACAATCTCTGTGAAACTGAAACTCTGAAAGAAACTACACCCCGATTCTTATCTATATAAACTTGTTGGACCGCATTTTGCCTCTACTGAATAACTTTAATATTAACTGTCCGAATTACTGATTTAAAAACTGTAAACAATAAACCATTATCTTATATAACTTTTAAAGCTTACCTAGTCGTATAAACATCAGTGTCTGGTTTAGATTTCAGCATATAATTTCTTGTTGACTACCTACAAGAATGTATTTGGAGGTTAGGATTTCAAACCCACTCCCCTCCCTCCTCAATATAGTGTGCACTGTACAGCCACGCATACTCATTTATATGAAATTATATGAATTGATTTCATAGGCGACGAGTGAAGAAACTAGGGGGCTTAACTTCCTTAGTTTACAATTTAGTTCCCCAGAAATTTAGCAAAGCTATATACGTTGTTTTATATAAATTATTTTATGGCGTGAGAAAAATTTTATTTGCACCTTCTTCTTTATCATTTACCAAAAGGACAGAAAAGTGTTCTTTTGACGTATGAATATAGTGCTCTTTCGGTGTATGGAAAGAATAATGTGTGGTTTTTGGTACGCACTCGTTTATTTTACTATAAAACTTTCTTTTATCATTTTTCTGACTTTATATAAATGATAAAAGCGTTCAGTGATATCAATAAATGAATGATTTTAAAATAATACGTCAAAAACTATATTGTGAAAATGTGTCGATAATTTGGCGCCCTTTAACTATGGACATTTAAAACAATTACTTAAATTACCCTAGTAACACAAATAAATAGTGTAACAACACTCTCCGGGCATTTATTGTATTCCCGTATAAGTGTTATGAAATTAGTTCGGCAATATTGCCAAATGTCGTATCATTTTGTATGGATCGGATAATGTCGAACTATAAAATAATCAGACTTTTGTCGGAAATTTAATAAAAATTATTACTTTTAGTTTTAGTTGTCTATAACTACATTTAATATTGCCTATAAAATTATATTAGTTAAAATATTAGTTCTTGTAATTATCGATAGCGAGCACTAGTAGTATTGCTAACAAGAAAATAATACTATTAGCTCTCGTTACAATAATTCATAAAACTACTTTCGATCAAGTTAATAGTGTCATTAAATTAAGAGGCTGAATACCATATACCAAGGGAAGTAATAAAAACATTTTATCGGACATTTCGGATAATTTAAAAATTGTATGAATATTTTTAGTTCATTTTTTCTGGTAACACTGTATTCGGGTCAACCGTCACCACCGACGTGCTTGCATATTATTTAATAAAAACTATATTAACGCACTTTCAATAATATTTTAATATAGTTACGTTTAATTTAGTTGATTTTTATTTACATAGCCCTAAAAATCCAGTTTCTGTTCTTTTCTAACTAAATATTGATATATATTTATTAATTTAATACGTGTATATCATAACTAAAACTATTAATAGCATTAGTTAAATTAACCTTGTAGCAATTGCTTCAAGGTTATAATTAGAAAAAATTATTTTTTAGGAAAAATAAAGTAAATATTATAAATATAATTTTAAATCGTTAACACTAATTTTATACGCAAAAACACTACCTTCCTTTTTTCTAGATTTCATTGAGTTAAAAAAAAAATTATGCTGGAAACATATATGTAATTATACGAATAATTAATTAGTTAGTATATAAATGTTATATAATAACTATTCTTCAACGTTTTATACTCGGAGGGGATGGAATACCGAGTATAAAAACTTAGCGAGATTTAATGATGTAGCAAATAATCATAATAAATAAACAAGTCTTAAAGAAGTTGTTTCAATTTAAAAAAAATAGATTGTTCACATTACTATAAGATTAAAGTTAGAAATATGTATTTCAGTTTTATTCAATTATATTTGATGGTACTTGTTTCCGGTTCAATCGCCAAACCTAATACTTTATGTGAGTTTCATTGTTTTTCTGTTTTCAAAGTATAAAATATACTGTAATTTGATAGTTATTACTTTAGTTAGATGCATTGATACAATACCTAGATACGCTGACTGTGTTGGAAACTTCAATTTACATAATAATGCTGTTTTAAGCAAAGATACAAAAAACAGACGTTAATAATATAAATGCCATAAAGTAATAACATAAAAAATTAACTTATTTTAAAAATAACTCATCATGATTTCTATGGTTTAATATAACACAAAACTTGATTTTGTGTCTCGTAAAATATTTTTAACTATTTGGTTGTTGCTTTAGATAACTTTTGATAAATATGCTCCAACTCATTTTTTTACAAAAAATATATGGTAGTGTCTAATAATCAGTGTTTGAGTAATGTGTTGAAGAGTACAAGGGATTATGTGTTAAGGATTATTATTATTATTATTGTAGCTGTCTATTAAATCTTAACAATGCACATTTATCAATTCATTTTGTTTAGTTATGTGCGTCAATAGAAAATTGATATTTTTTAAAAAATGACTATAACAAATTTTTTTAAAGCTTTTAAAACTTTATTATTTGATATTTGATTTGACGTCAAATATAATTTTAAAGATTTATAAATAATAGCTAAAATAGCATTGATATTTTATTTAAATCTTATATTTTTTCATTTATTAAATACGTAATATTTAAAGAATTTTTCATTTCAGTTCAAAGTTATAAACGGTGTAAATTGAGTGATCCAGCAATAAACACTTGTCTTAAAAATGCACTTACTGAAGCTTTACCGTTCATAGCTAAAGGTGATTTAAAAAAAAAATTTTAAGTTAATTTTAACATGAACTTTTTTATTTTTAGGAGTTCCTAGTCTTAATTTATTCCCTTTTGATCCAATTAAAATATCATCAATTGAGATAAAACAAGATAATAGTCATACGGTACAAATTAATTTAAAAGTTAAAGATGTACAAGCTAAGAACCTATTTTCTAAAACTGAAATAACAGATTTCAAGTATCTGAATTGAATATTTGATTACTTTATTATGACAGTAAATTCTGAAATGATTTAACCGGTTATTAATTAATTATTTAGGGCTGATATAAAAAACTTAAATGCTTCAATTAACTTGCTGATAAAAGATCCTTTGTTGCTTGAAGGATTGTACGATATCAGTGGAAAAGTATTAATTTTACCAATCGTGGGAAACGGTCCATTTCATATGAAATTAGGTAATGAAAAAATAATTAGTTATATGAAAAGTTATAAAATATAAATACAAGGTGGCCACTCCCAAAAAGCATAGCTTGTATTAATAATCTTTTAATATTTATTTAGAAAACATTAAAGCATCAATAAATTTTCATTTAAAAAAAACAGTTAAGAATAAAAAAACTTATTTAAAACCTGAAAGTGTATCATGGACTTTTACGACTCAAAAATTGACCATGAAATTTGAAAACTTGTTTAATGGAAATAAAGCACTAGGTATGTTGATATCCTTTTAATAATATTATGATAACTTGTAAGTGTATTTAAAAACTACTTTTAACTTTTTATATCTATATAAGTATAATGGTTAAATGACAGTAACTTTTTTTACAGATTTTATGTTTTATTTACGGAAAATATAAAATCTTAAGAATATAAAAATATAACAATATTTGAAATTTTGAGATGAGTCGTGTATTTAATTATGTGTCGAATCTATATGTTATGATACCTAAGAAAACAAGTTCATAAGTCAAAAAGTCATATAATATATCGTTTTTTGGCTTATGATAATATAGTATATTTTTATGACAAAAATTTAATTGTAGTTTTTTGTTCGTTATTTCTTTTATTAACTCTGATTATTAATAATAATTTAACTTGTTTAAATTAGAATTAGTAGATATAAAAATGCCTACTAAAGTTTTATAAGGAAATTAATATAATGGATTCATTACTTTTTTAAATCAGTAAATGCATTTTTTCTTTAACTAATTCTATATACATCTTTTAGAAATAAAAATATTTATAGGTGGTAATTTCACTTTTAAAAATTACACCACTTGAAACTACTCCTAAAAATGATTTTTTCCTAAAAACTAAATCTATAATGGTTTATACATATGAATAAACTTCATTAGTTAATTTTTCTTAATAATAATTTGTTCATAGTAAAATTGGCAGACTTTAAACATAATTTGTAATAACATAATTAATACCAATTTTAATAAAATTTTAGGAGATAACATGAACGTTTTTTTAAATGAAAATTGGCCAGATATATTGAAAGACTTCCAACCTGCTTTAGAACAAGCTTTGGTGTTTGTTTTAATTGAGTACACTAATCAATTTTTTGGACGCGTATCGATGGAAGATTTGTTTATCGAATAGATGTACATTAAAAATGGGTATTTTTGTATGTCAAATTTTTAGTTTAATTATGAAAGTGTACGAATTTAATCATTCTTTACTTCATGAACAATTTAATTGTGATTTATATAAATAAAAATAATATAGAATATTTTAATAATGTATATTGATCATTAGAACTATTTTTAAATAATTATTTTTTATCTAATACTTTATAATTGATTTTATTTTCAATAAGTAGATCCATGCAATTTTAATTTTTATACTAATATTGAGTTGCATGCTGATTTTTTATGTTTTCAAAATTAATTATTTTCAAATTATATTTAAATAGTTTTTGTTGAAAAATATGAGATTTATTTAAACACTCTAAATAAAACAAATAAATACATTACCATTTAATACTAAGTTATTGTTAAATTTTATTCACGTTATTACACATCAAATATTGAAATAAATAATTTGGATAAATTACCATGTGACTATATTGTGTTTTTCTGTATTTAACTATTTAAAATCTCATTAATGAGAAAAAATTAGATAATTATATTTATTACTATATAAAAAACATTTAAGATGGATTACAATACAAATAGCTCCCTTTAAATTTTTATTCTAGTTGTTTGCTAGAATACAAATTAAAACTGAAAAATTTGCTTGATAATTTCAGGAGAATCAACATTGAACGATTAAAAAATATTTTTAAATATCTATACTAGGTTGAAAATGATATTTGTAGTTTAATTTTTGGACAAAGANTACTAGGTTGAAAATGATATTTGTAGTTTAATTTTTGGACAACTTTTGGATAACTAGTGCATGTAGATAAATTTGTGTTGTATAAATTGAAGACAATAGGACATTTATTAGATATGTACTATTTTTTTTTTAATCTTTCAATACAGCTATATTTTTATACTTAAATAATAATTAATTTATTATTATCAATTACTATTATTGAAAATTCAAATTTTGAACATGATTTTTTACAATAGAAACTGCTTTATACATAGGTACAAAAAAATAATCATGTCTGATAATTTACAGTAGAGTTATTACAATAAATAAATAGCCTTTTTTTGCGTTTTAATGTAAAAAATTTTTATTTTTGTTTTTATGTTTCTTACACAATTTTTTAAAAGTGTTTATCTTATCGGTGCTTTTATTTTAAAGAGTACTTTTGATACACCAAAGGGGACGTGTAATTCCAAATGAACCAAAAGTATAGTTTACTCCTACTTGCAACAAATTATGTAATTACTAGACAAATGCATTATCTAATATTTTCCAACAAAATCTATTAAAAATTTCTTTTTATTTTAGATAGTTTATTAATTTATACAAGAGATGCCCTATGTAAACAACTCTGATTATTTGTTATATATTTTTTTTTCTTTAGAATTAATATAAAATTTAATTTTTAAAGTCAAATGAGAATCTGTAGCACGATGATAAATTGCCTCTCTCGGTACGTGTAAATCGTATCAAAATACAAAAAATAAAGCAAATAAAAAAAAAAATGAATGTATTGTTGCTCACACAAAATATTTTGTTTGGTATCCCCATAACAAAATTATTGATCAAGCCCGTCATATTATTTTTAATCAATTACGTAGAAAAATTTAACAATTTCAAGTAAATATGATTTTTTTGAACATGATAATGTTTGTATCTATCTATGGATCCAAATTTCTTTGGCAATGAATATTAAAAAAAAAAACACCATATGATAAGACGTATGCATTTTTCGATACTCTCTTAGAATATAAGGCATATAGTATATATAAAAATACATTAACTAATAATCATAAGTGTAATAATTTTTGTAACAAATTATACATATCAAATTTTATAATTTTTTCATCAGTTCTACGCCAATAAGTCAAGTTGATAAGGTTAAATTTTCATTTAAGAGTTGCTTTTTTTATCCTTCTCTGTAAGCAGGGTCATATTTCAAAAAAATAACTAAATAAAAAGGATATACCTAAGGAATTTATAAAAAAAATTTACCGATCGTAAAAATTGTAATTTTTTGTAGGATTACCCCTATTTAAGGAGAACTAATGAAATTTGTTCGATATTTTAGGTAATTTCTTCAGTTAGATTCGATTTATGATCTTTAGATGTAGAAATAAATCAGTCCAATGAGATCTGAGAAAAAATAGTTCAAATATAATAATTTTATTATAAAAAATAAAATAATAAAAAAAACACATCATGGTAAAATTAATACCTTCTCAGTTTTACATCAAAGCTAAAATATACATTTTATGTGATATAGAAATAAAGTTGTCAAAAAGAATACATCAAAATATGTATTTGTCACATCCTTGTGAGTCATTCTGTATATATAATTACATATTTACTATTATAACACATTAAATATATATATATATATTAATAATAATAATTTAGTTAACTTTAAAAGAGTTTCTATTTTGTTCTTTACTTTACAGATTTAAATATGGCGTTTCTATACAGAACTATATAGATATACCTCATATTATTTAATAATACGTATAAGTAAAATTAGTTATATGTAACTTATGAATTTTACATTAAAAACATAACATACATTGTATATATTAGTTATTTTTAGGAATTGTTTTCGGATTGTAATTGTTAAGTATAAATTGTTTTTATTGCAAATTGTTGGATTTATTAAAACACTTTAAATAGAAATATAATATTTAGCTATTGCAATAAATTTTATTGACATTATTATATTGTAAGACATTGAATAATTAAATACTTATAAAATTTGTATGACATCAGTTGTCACAAAAATGACCATTTTCTCTAATTAATTGCTTGTATTTCTGCTTAACTTGTATACAATTATTTTATTTAATACACAAATATTTTTTATTAATGTCCAACTTTAGTCACGTTAACATAAAGCAGGTTTTAGAATAAATGAATATCAAGTAACATTGTATATCTAATTGAAGAAAAATCATATCGTTTAGTTATTTAGATTATTAACAAGTCAACTAGTGAATTGATTAAATAGTTATAACTATTTATATACAACTATTTCTAGTTCTATTTAATATTAACCTACAAAAAATAATAAAAAAAATCTTTTTTGCCAATAATTTTGGTATTATAAATTTTAGTTGAATATTTTTCAGGGTACTGATACTCATCACTCACTCTTTTCAAATATAACATATTTACAAATATAATATTTTAAAGATATTTTTGGTTTTAGAATATCTTAAAAGAGGTTTATATCTCAATAATTTAATAGCTCTGATGCAATTTGAATTGTTTATAAAATATATTGATAAATGAATTTTTAATTTTACACACCTATCTTAAAAAATCATATTTCTGAGATGATATTGTTGAAAAAAGTAAGTGATTAGCAATATTTTGAAATCAAAATTATATCAGTTTTTTTGTTTGAAAAAAAAAAATAAATTCATGAAATGATAGATTTTCACTTTTAAAACGTTTGTAAAAATATTATTAAGTATGGCTAATAAGGAAAAAGTAATATGGAAATATACATATTTATAAATTTAATTCCAAGTCATATCCTATTCTGTAATATGTAAAATTCATGAAATACTATTCTAAATATGTATTATAGGTTTAATTTAGAAAGAAACATGTATGTATGCCTTATAGACCTCATTATTAATCAAAATATAAATAGAAATAGAAATATTTATGAATAGATATAAATAAAGAAGAGTTCTGAGTTTAAGGGGCAATTTCACGATTGTCATTAATTTTTAGACATTCTTTAAGACATATTTTGATTAATTAAAGTTTTTATTTTCACAAAAACAATTACAATTTTAATTGTTTTAATTACGAGTAGATTTATCTGTACATTTATTTATTTTCGCAAATTATAATTTGTTATTATAATTTATTTAAATTACGAAATGTGTTGTTTATCATTAAATCAATTATGCAATTCGTTTTTGTATTTAAATTTTCATTTGATAACTAGCATAACCCTTTTGCATAAATATCTTGGAAAAATAAAATTATCAATAAAGGTATATTTATTGATTACTATAAATCACTCTGTATAGTTATTTTAATTTGGCCTTGTCAATACGTGCGAACTTATTAATTTTTTCTAACTTTGATAGAAATCTTCAAATATAATATACCTCTATATAAATTGATAATCTGGTGTTATATTTGTTTGGCACTAAAGAAAATAATTATACGTATATGTATGAGCGTCATAACATTCAGGTTATGGCTCATAAACGACGATATCATGAATTAAAAAAGTATCTTTAAAATATTCCTACTTTGTAAATCAAAAAACACACAGCCTTTTCATAAAAAATATTGCTCTTCTCCAATTTTTGATAATATGGATTGACTAGTAATTTATAATTAAAAATATAAATTCCATTATGTTTTATTTTAATTTTCTATTATTATAATATTCTACTATAATTTTTTCATTATTGATTTACAATTTTTTTATTTGGTCAATCGTTCATCTATTACACATGTTAAAGTTAAGTAACTTTAGTGCAATATTCTATTGTTATTTCACTGTTTCAACTACAGTAGTTATTATTTTTCTATGCTGTCGTAAAAGCAAATTTTTATTGTTTAAGAAATAACTTAAGAAATTCAATACAAAAGATTTCTTGTTAACTACTACGATAAATAATTTATTGGTTATGGAAACAGATTATTGCTGCCTTAATTTTCACTTAAAATCTAAATTTTAAAACGTAAAATCTAAAAACGTACAAACAGATAAAAATCATATGAATGAAATTATTTAAAATTAAAAATATATTTAAATTAAAAGAAATAAAAATTAGTAAATCGCCTATACATATTACAGAAACAATTACCATTATCAACACTGAACACTAAAATTATGGTAAAAATTCAACTGATTGATAATATTGAAAGTATTATCAATCTGTATATTATTTTTCTATAAAATATAGTTAAAGTACTTTAAGAAAGTTATTGAAAGTGAATATTTTGAATAAACCCTTCTTTGTAATATTACAATGAATTTATTTGTATTTATTATTTTGAAATAATTATGTTTTAAGTATATTTTTACTACAAATTGAAATGAGTAATTTAATTTTTTACTCATTAGATAATTTAAAATTTGCCTCGAACTTAAAATAAGACTTCTTTAATTGTTTCAAAGTAACGCATTAAAGACAACTAATGAGTAGCATATCAGTATTATCATATCACTATAATATAGTGATGTGGTAGTCATGGTCGCCCGCAGGAAATTTATCAAGGGGGGGGGGCAAACAAAATTAAATACCAAAAAGTAACATTAAATAAAGTGTTTATTAACTGAAAATTGCAAAATATATATATATAACTATTATATATATTTATGAGTCATTACTAAATAAAAATTTTCAGATCATACAAATTTAAATCAGATTGGTTATAATTTTTAAAAATGTATTTCCAAAGACCAGGGGGGGGTGCAAACGCCCCCTCTTGATACCCCCTGCGGGCGCCCATGGTGGTAGTAGTGATATAAGTCGCACTCGTATATTATATGAGTGCGACAAGGCAATATGACGAAATTCAAGATATACTTAAAAATAATATAGAA